CCCCGCCACAGCTGCGCACAAGTGTCCCCACTTTCACCCACCTTGCCCACACCCCCCTCCACATCACCCAGGTCCTCCTGGGTCCCTGGTGTCCCCTTGAGTCCTTGACGTCCCTGAGTCCCTGCTGTCCCCTGCTGTCCCAAGGACTCCGGGAGTTTGGTCTGCCCAGCCAGGATTGGCTTTCATGCTGCTCTCCAACATCCCCCCGTGTCCCCAGTGCCCCAACCTCCCCAATGTCCACAGGTGACCCCGATGTCCCCAAGTGTCTCACATGTCTCTACTGTCTCCAAATCGCCTCATCTGCTCATCCGCGTTTGGCTTCGATGAGGGTGGGCGGCTGCAGGAGCGGCTCCACTTTGCTCCCGATGGGCTGGTGGTGATGAGTGTCGACATCCAGAGCATGGAGCATGTGCACCAGCGCACCTGCGATGTCCTGCAGCGCAGTGTCCAGCTGGCCACCAAGATTGCCACCAGGTCCCCATGTCCCCCTGTGTCACCTCATGACCCACCCCTTCCCTCCTGTGTCCTGCCAGCTGGAGATCAAGATCAGCACTAACTCCTAGGAGGACACTGCTGGGTCTCTGTGCCCCTTGTGTCCCCAAATGTCTCCACCATGTCCCACATACCCTGTAAGTCCCCCCACATCCTCATGTTTCCTTACGTCTCCCCATATGCCCCATGTTGTCACATCCCCGTAAGTCCCTCTGTGTCCCTCCCACATCCCACATGTGCCTAAATGTCCCCCCTATCCCCCGTGTTCCCCGTACCAACCACATCCCCCCAACAGTAAAGGGGCTGATGCTTCTGGATACAGTGGATCACCACATGTGTCAGGGAGCTGCGCCTGTCCTCCCATCACGAAGGTTTCAGTCCCAACAGACCCAGTGCCCCCAGGCAAGCTGCTCTGCAGCATGACAGGGTGCAACGCTCTGGTGCTCGCAGGGCTGCGCTTCCCGTGGGTCCCTAAACCCATCAGATCACAGCAAAGGGGGCCTGACCTCCAAATTGACATCCACTACCCCCAGGTACCCACCAGGTTGCTCAAAGCCCTGTCCAACCTGACCCTGAACACTTCCAGTGATGGGGCATCCACCCTGTGCCTGTGTCCACTGCCCTTATTGTAAAAAATATATTCTTTGTACCTGATGTAAATCTACCCAGTCTAAATCTGCCATCTTCCAGTTTAAAACAGCGGCCCCTTGTCCTGTCACCACAGGCCCTGCTAGAAAGTCCATCTCCATCTACTTTATTGGCCCCCTGTAAGCACTGAAAGGCCACAGTTAGGTGTCCCTGGAGCCTTCTCTTCTCCAGGCTGATCACCCCCAACTCTCTCAGCTGTTCTTCATACATGAGGTGCTCCAGCCCTCAGATCATTTCCATGCCCTCCTCTGGCCCCACTCCAACAGGTCCCTGTCTGTCCTGCGCTGGGGACCCAGAGCTGGTCACAGGGGGCGTGGCTGGGTGGGTGTGTGGGTGTCTCTCGCCAGAGCAGAGCAGCTTCCCCTGTATCAGAGTCCATTCCAGCCAGCTCCAACAGAGCCCTGCCGCTGACCAAAGCTAAGCCCATGCACAAGGGCAGTAGGATCGCTGTGATAATGTATTTAAGAAAGGGTAAAACAACAACAAGGATAGAACAGGGACCTGGGAGTCCTGGTGGACGACAAGCTGACCATGAGCCAGCAGGGTGCCCTTGTTGCCAAGAAGGCCAATGGTATCCTGGGGCACATTAAGAGGAGTGTGGCCAGCAGGGCGAGGGAGGTTCTCCTCCCCCTCTACTCTGCCCTGGT